TTATTATTGAGAATTACGGAAGTGTCTACTACGTGATACCACATCTGGAGGCTATTATTGAGAAGGGTGGAGGTGTGTATCACGAGATACCACATCTGGAGGCTATTATTGAGAAGGGTGGAGGTGTGTATCACGAGATACCACATCTGGAGGCTATTATTGAGAATGACAAAGGACATTGCGAACAGTTCCCGCAGTGAGTTAAACGAAATATTAAATAAGGATTGTTTCAATAAAGTGTTAACTCCATTTATTTTTCTTGTTTTCTGATTTAAACATCGATTCCTTAATAAAAGTTGTTTTAAAAACCGATATAGCTGTTCTGGTGTGACATCACATTGCACATATGACGCTCTCTCTCTCTCTCTCTGGCGTATGCCCGATTAATTCAGCTAACACACGTGTGTTGCGTACGGTTCGGGACTTATATAAAAAAAATAACTTGTAATTGTCGTTCATCTTGTATATTTATTTTTGTCAGTTCAACTTCTAAGTTTTCCGTTGGTATTAAGTCATAAACACTGGAAATACGTGAATTTTAGCTGAGTGTTGCACTCCCAGAACACTGGCTCTCAAATACCTAGCACGCACACGTCTTTCTCGTTTGAGGTTTTACAGTCCTTACGTTTTCTACTAATGCAGTTTTGATGGAGGGAGATAAGTGTAGGAAGAAGCAGCATGATCCAAATGGAATTATCTTCCCAAAGGGGTAAAAATGACGTTCGAAACGCATGATGAATCGATTTCCCCCCTGTAAATATAGGCTATTAGTTGTATCCGTAGTTCCAGCGACATCTACCTCTAAATACTTAATATCCTACCTGAAATATCATTGGATAGAAAGATAGAAAAAAACAACAACATTTCTTCTGGCTGTCGTATAGTTTGTAACATGGGATCATTTTTACGGCTACAAACGAAAGAACAGTGTAACTTCTTGACATATAGATGAGTAAACTGATTGGCTTTCTCCACGAGGAGATAGGGTTTTCTTTCTTGATTACACACTGGGGAATGGTATTAGTTTTGGACTCTCGTTGAGCAGTACTTATTATTTTTTTTTTTCTGGTAAAACGGATGTTGATATTTTCTGTAATTCCTAACACTTTTCTCAAGGTGTCTTTTATTCGTTTCATTGCAGACATTCCTTATCGGCGGGCGTGTTTTGACCTTATTAGGGATTTCTGTTTTATAGACTTCTCATTGCTGCTAATAGCGTAGCTGCAAAAACAGAGAAGTAAAGACAACTATGATTGTTTGTCAGGTGATATCGTGAGTTCATCCACGAAAGTTTAATCGGACTGTGTAACACAGTTATCGTGTAAAAGTATATATCACAGTCACCGCGTCGAGTACGTTTTCATCATGTAAAATTGTGTATCAGTCACCACGTAAAATTATATTTCACAGTCACCATGTAAAATTGTGTATCAGTCACCATGCAAAAACGATGTATTACAGTCACCACGTAAAATTAAATTTCACAGTCACCATGTAAAATTATGTATCAAAGTCACCATGTAAAAACGATGTATTACAGTCACCACATAAAATTATATTTCACAGTCACCACGTAAAATTATGTATCAAAGTCACCATGTAAAATTATGTATCAAAGTCACTATGTAAAAACGATGTATTACAGTCACCATGTAAAACGACGTATTATTCACCATGTAAAACTGTATATCACGATCACCATATAAAACTGTATATCACAGTCGCCATGCCCAATATAACAGTAAGTCTTGTATCATGGATATTAAAATGACCGAACTGTTATTTTATTTATATAGAATGATGGTGTAGTTATTTTTCAGTGATACTGAAGACAAAATCTGATTTATTTGTTAACATCTCGGAATAAGTGTAATGGAAAAAAAATAAGTTCTGTTACTAGTTTACGTACTCACTTAACGAATGTGGAAGACATATTTTTTCTGGAGTTGGCACGTGGCATAGGCAGATTACGTTTCAAACCACGAAATCCCCAATATACTCTTTACCACTCCCTGGAAAACCTAAGGATACATGCCATGTCTGGTGAAAATCGGTCCAGCGGTTCACCAGTTATAAGCGAACATACAAACAGAATTTTGTGAAAA